AGTATATTTTCATGCATCAAAGAAAGCCTTTTAAAACGGCGGGTTATTGGATACCGAAGGAGTTAAAAACTAGCGTTAATTTCAGGTAAGGTTGCATGGAGTACAATTCATTTGCTTTTATTAATAGTTTTGAAAACTGAACTTTCTTTTTACCCCCAAGCATCGTAAAAACCTTCCGCCTTCTTAGACAAACTAAAAATAACTAAAATCAAAATGTACTCTAATTACGTTTATCGTCGTGCGAGTTGTCTGTGTAGTATGAGAACAATGAATAACTTGGTTCATAGCGCAGTTTCGACTGGATGAATATTTGTCCCTCATTTGAAAGGGACACTTTTCTCCACAGTTTTTTTTTTTTTTTTCTCGTTCGTAGAATTAGCATAAAATTCACGTGAGAGATTTCGCCGAAAAACATATTCAGGGTGAAAACTTCTATCCTTCAGTCAATTTGAAATATAAAGAACCTGAAATAAGAGAAATGCCAAAGAAAAATTAAGAAAAGCAAGTTATATTCGCACTTAACATTTATTCTCCATTTTTAGGTTACATCTCCGTTTGATCCCTAATTAAGTATTATACTTCCATAAGTTACACTAAACTTGTACGAAGTAATTTAATTGGATACTTATTTGGTTACTTCGATAAAATAAATAAAATCAACATCACTGCTTTTTTTACTTCTTACTTAGTTTCTTGTAATTCTCAGTCATCTTTTCATATTATTGTTTTAGTTCCAATCAAATACATGTAATCGATTTTTCACTGTATTCCGCTTAATTTTTCTGAAGAGCTCAGCCTAATCCACCTTTGAAAGAGAGGCTAAAAGCACTTCATCCTCGAACAGGTCCTATTAACATTAAGCACTAACTACACCTGTTTACTTCTAATTCTCACCACCTCACTTAAGAAAAAAACCTGGAGACTTCAGCCATTCAAAGAAAATCAATTTGCCACATGAACTGAAGTGTACTTCGAATTCCTTGTATTATGGCGTCAAGATGCAAAAAACCTTTATATAAAACTGATAGATAAAAAGAAAAAATGCAAGAAGAGCTTTCTGCATGTGCCGGAAAGAATACCACACTTTTTTGTATACTATTTTAGTTTTTTTAAATGGTGGTCACGATTTACTTATAGATGAGTTAAATATTTATTCCATTCCTTCACGTTATTAGTGGCTACTTATATATGACACCATACCCCATCTTACAACTAGTTCTTGAGGAAAAGCAACATCTCAATTGTTTTTTAATAAACTCTTGTTTCATGACTGTATTTTTAAAATTACTTTTATCCAATTCATGTACATGGCTTTCAGCAAGTATCAAAACAGTGAATATAATCTATAAGGATCTATAATACAACCTAAATAGTTTCTCCATAATAGTCAAATAAACCATACTAATTAACAATTGTTTGCTAAAGGCAAGGTGAATATCATTGAATAATCCGCTCAACTTCGTCTCGGGGATTATTTGACAATATTCACTGAACCTGAGGCAAATAATTGTTTTAGTACAATTTCAGAGCTGAACAGAAATTTCTAAAATCATAACATTTTAGTACCATTTATTAACATTTCATTTTAACATTTTATATAAACTGCGTGGAGCGATTTATATAGCGTCATATAAGGAACCGCTCGACCAATCAGATTGCTGGAAACTCTTTGCTCAGCTCAGAAATTATACTAATTTTGTGTATTAAATTAGGAATAACATCAATATATTAATATGTTCGGAAGTCTGTTAAATCACTGTGTCTGTTTCACAGGAAAGAGCAATCTTAGTTGCTCTAGGAAGATCCATGTGATAATCGTGTGAGGTGCCAAACGTACCCAAGCTGGGATAAAACCCTACAAGTGGAGAAACATTCAAAGTGAAAGATCACTAAAACAGAGAGAAAAGTAGTAGAAACATAAAATCACTTTAGTGAATGATATATCAAAATCTAAACCATATTAGGGTACTGGAATGCACAAAATATGCCACCATATCACACTGTAAAACAGGGCAAAATCATGGGCAGAGAGCAGAACATCAAAAATTGCCACACTGAACAATCCAACCTTGAAAAATCCAACCCTTGATTAAACTATCCAACCTTTGCTGGCATCTTTCCTTGTCCCTACCAGGCTCAGAAAAATACTACACACCTTGCAAAATATCTACCTGTATTACATATTAAACTATCAAATAAGGTCTATGTATGGTACTGAGAAGTAGCTCAGTAGCATGCCATTATCAAAAGTAGTTGGTTGACTCACCACCCTAAGCAGTCTTCCTATATGACCTTGGGCCCATTTCTCTAAAGTCCTAGTAGCTTAATGAGCATGAAGCCATATTTTGAAATAAATATGTAAAGATTAGAGAAGCACGTTCTGGCACCCTTGCTAGTCCAATTTGCTTCTTTAACTGAACAGTTTTTTAGGCCTGTCAAGTTACCAGGGCTTCAAGAAACAGGCCCCAGTTTAGAAAGCCACATAAACATTTTTCAGGGCATTAGACAAGAGCTACTTCTCTCCTAACAACAGTTACCTTATAAAATCCCATTGGTCCAAGTCTTGCAGTAAAAAGTATACAATGGACCACACTCTGTAAGAAAAGGGGCAGATTATACTCTATGCACTACCAGACCATCTCACTGTAAAAGTAACGGAGAGGTTTTCTTGTTATGAGAATATTTCTTCTGAAATAGAGTTTACCTTGTACTGCCCAGGTTTTGCTTCCATAAGTCTTGTCTTCATAACATCAACAGGTTGTGTAATACCAGTAGCAATTGTACCCTAGACAAACAATTCAAAAATTCATAATTAAAAAATAACTGAAAGGGTGTCAGGATTTAACTACAGCAACTGATCTCTCACCAAGTACCTTGACTGTAAATATATTACAATATTTTTCAGTAACAGAGCAAAAGATAAACATTGTCATATGAATTACACACTTAGCCCAGGTTGTTTTAAGGTTGGATAACACTGTCTACTGGATAAATCTTTATCTGGTGGATAATACTATACGTTTTGCTATCACTCATCCACTGGTTAGCAATTTATCCATTGGAAGGCATAATCCACCCTTAAAACAACTTAGCCTTACAGTTTACAAATTTGCTTCTGGTTTTTCTAGTTCATAACATATTTTGCGCACTGTCTCCAAACATATACTATGTCTATGTGTTACAATTTTTTATTATTTATAAATTGAAGTATTGTCTATAAAAAGGTTCTTTGTTTTAATGGGTTATTTCTTCATTTCAAATTTCTCTTACGGCTATAAAACTTGCAGTGAAATGTGCAATAACATTGTCCTTGAAATACCTACAAAATAGAAAAAAAAAACATATAAGATCTACTTCTTAGTAACAGTATTGATTTGCATGCATGCATTAGCAAGGAAAAACCTAAGAGCAACTCTTAATATTTCATGAACATTAACCATGTTGTACTAAACTTACCCTGATGCAAGTAACAGCTGCTTAGCTTGATCATAGCATGCAACCTAAAAAAAGACATGGTGGTGGAGAGCAGGTGATAAAGAATATCACTTAGTGCTTTGATATCAATGTGATTTTTGAAGCTAGTATTTACTTTTTAGTTACTACGTGAAGCTGTTACTTTAATACTATTTACACTAATGTACCATTGATTTGCAGTTGTTCAAATAATAATAATACTTGTTGCAGCTCTTTCAATTTAGACTTCACCAGGTTCCAAAATTAAAAATGATTAGCTTATGTCTTCTTCATATTTGGTCCAAGAAAAATGTATTACAGTGTGTTTGGATATGTACCTGAGCCACTGTCATCAGGAGAGCTCTGGATGAGGTCATTGTAACACCTTTCATCCAAGTTGACACACCCTCTGCCAATAATCAATTAAGAAACCAAAATATTATTGAGAGAATTAATGAAGAGCCAAATGAACTACCAGACATTCAGCAGACAAAATAAGGGCCTCCACACCTCCACAAAGAAAATGTATTTATTTTTCTTGTGAGCATGGCAACCCACCTGATTGATGTGATCTAGAACTGAAAATAAATTTTGTTTTCACTTCATATAAGAAATTTGTCCTGCTCACTTGGCTAAAAATTCAGCCCAGCTACATTTTGCTATACCCAAATTAAAAAGAGATCTCTGAGACTAAATCAGCACAGTTGACTGGACTCAAGTAAATAGTTTCAATCACTTCAGCTAGATTACATACCTTCTGTTGCTGTTCTATAGAGGCCATCAAACACATGCTTATAACTACAAAAAAAAATTAACAATATACTGTAAATATTTTGTGGCTTAGTTAAATACAAATTTTATCTGTACTTACTTAGGCCATTCAAATATCTGAAAAACAATACCATCAAGTAGATCCACTCAAAAAGCTTACTTTCTTCTGAGTGCTTTATCAAGTGTTTTGACATCATTTTGCATTCTGTAAAATGAGTTAGAGAAAAAATAATGCTTACAATTGGACAACACAACAGCAATGATGATGATAATGATGAAACTTTATTTATGTGTCTGTTAGGGATCCAGCTCCTGACTAGCAAGGTGCTAATTGGTGACACAGTATAGTTATTCAATAAACATTATCTTCAAATGTACTAATTAATACACTAATTATACTGTAACTTAAGCTATAATAAAACATTATACAATAAAAATATCTTAAAATGTACTAATTAATACACTTATTATACAGTAACATAAGCTATAATAAAACCTATTCAAATTAAAGTGTCAAAGATGAGTTCAAATGTTACAAAGCATATCTTGTAAATTATGTACTAATTAATATAACAATTATACAGTGGCTCAATTAAGCTATAATAAAACAAAGTCATATTCTAATCAAAGTGTCAACTGCTGCTATATTTAATCCAGAATCACAGATGCATAATTCCTGTGTAGTCAACTAGGATGTGTCATCAACTTACATCCAATAAGGAAAAATGGAGAAGCTCATGAGCCAGAAGACCTATACTACCAGAGCCTATTCAAGTTTTATTAGCATCAAGGGAATAATTCCCTCCCCCTTGCCAGGATTCCAGTCCAACAAGGGCTTAACCTATTGCATTTTGTAAGACTTTCTAAAAAATTTTACTGGTATTCATTTGTAAGTACCTCTCTCCTAGGAGGCAGGTGACATGAGGGGGAGAGGGGCTGTAAGAGTCTAATCTCCAAGAACAAAACACAGAGACCAAGTCAAGAATCTAGCACCCACCTTTTATGCAGAGTCCAGAGTACTAACCACTAGGCCACCATGAACTAATTGAATAACCCTTAAAATTGAGTTAAATCGTGGATGTTACCCTTAACTTATTTTGGCACATACCTTACATTGACCATATCTGCAGGGTTGCCAACAATTCCGCCCAGGAAACCTAACAGTGATATTTCAAATAATTTCAAATCAACAGTTGACTTTTTTACTTGCACACTATTTTATTTAACTGAACAGCTGATCAGCAATAAATTCATACACCTTCTTCACTTGCCAACTTACCAGATACTGATCCGATTACAACTTTCTGGTAAAAAGGTAGTGGTTCTAAAAAGAAAAGAAATGAGATTTTTTTGCCATAAATTTCAGTAAAATGTAATCAAGACATACAAACATGCCAGGGTTTTCCACAAAGTATTGAACTACAATGAAAAAAAGACTGAGCTCTAACAGTACTTTGTCCCTCCCCCCCTCCTTTTGGTAATCATTATAATAAGCTGTCATATCTTTTACAAGTACTTTACAACCAGCAAAAACCCAGTAATACCTGGCAATATTACAAGTAACCAAACTCGTTCAACAAACCATGGGTGGTGTGCTCCACTACATGTAAAATCATTGATGTAGTTGCAGCTTATCTAACTTTAAAACTTGGCAAAATTTTAAGACTTAGTTAACCAACCCCACTATTTCGCCATAAAACACTGGACCTGCCTGTTCTATTTTTAAATGAAATTTACAAGATTATTCGTTACAACCCTTATACAACCTGAAAAAATCAATTACCATTTCCTTTTCTTAACTCTGCAGAGACCACTTCATACAATCCATAACGTGTTGTGGAATAGGTAAGCTGCAAAAAACAGACATACTGTAATCATGAGTGTATTTATTAAGTGGCTTCTTTAGAACTAACCAATTCAGAACTATTATCACACAAATATTTTCTTGAAATTGAGCGAACCATGAGATGATTACTAATTACTAATAACAAGCTCATTCCAAAGTCAGATCTGTTCTTTGCCCTTTCTTAAGATTTTGGCATTGTGGGGGTCAATTGGTAAGGACATTAAAATCTAACCTTTCACTTCTAACCCTTGGTCTAGACAACTTTATTACTCCTTGATAACGCTTTATTTTCCCACAATTTTGAGGTAACACACTCTATAATATTCCTTATTTACTTGATGAGCTATGCTATAAGACATATACTGTAATTCTATCATGAAATATTTTTTAACAATAAATGGTAATTTTCATGGCCACATCTCGTCTCCAAACCTGTCTCATGACAGAAGCTGACAGTCCATTGTAAAGCGCAAAGGCGCCTTGTGTTCGGACAACATGAATTGCCATGGATGAAAGTCTTTGTGTAACCTGTTGCTGTGTCTGTAAATGAACCTGACAGACAAGTGAGGAGGCTTAGCATAAAATGAATTCATTTAAGAATAGAATTATAATAAAATGTTCGGAATAAAATGAAGAACAATAGGATGACTGAAGAGCAAAGGGTTGTAAGAAATAGGATTTCTCGTTCTTTTATTTCTGCAGGTTATGAAAGACCCAAATTTGAGTATAATTTATTTTAAGAAAAGATTGAATAAACCATTGATCTTTAATGAACGAATAAAAAATGGTCTCCTTTAAGAAAAAACGAAACTTCATTTCATAATTGTGAAAAGGAAGATTTCCCAGAAACTCGGTCTTTACTTACTTCATTCGAGATGTGATGACTGAAAACAACTCACAATAATTTTAAATGCAAGCAGTCTACGCATGTGGGTCATTAAGCAATTTGAAATCTTCGCCATTTTCTTAGGCTATTATAAAACAAGTATTCTCTCTATCCACTTTCAGACAGAAAAGGGAATATTTTTAACGATTTTGAAGGGTCATCGATGTGTCACGCCAGTTTCATGATGAAAAGACAATCCTCTGTCAGAACGTAAGATAGTTCGTAACCACAATGCATGAATAGGAAATTGCACAAAACATAACGTTTCACTTTAAAAAAGTGCTAGGGCCTTTCGTCAGTAAGAGCTAAGACAGATTTAAGAGTACACATTTTAATCTTCAAAATAACCGTCCACGCCTTAAATTGAGCACTGTTTTGATGGTGTAAATTACCTTGAGCAAATCCAACGGATGCGTGCAACAAGCTGCCATGGCAGAGGCGATTCCTCCAAGATACCATTTGTGTTTTTTGGCTGTGACTTTCACGGCCCCGGATGGGCTGACACCTTCTTTCACTTGAACTGACATTTTCTAATCGAAGAACCGAGTGAACTACAAAATTAACATCGTAACTTCGCCTTTGATCACATGTCATGTTATCGAAACTTTGTCTCGTGGTCAAACCCCATGAGGGAACGTGCGTGTTCAGCCGTAGCGTCAAGCCTGGTTACCAAGCACTGGGAAAACTCTTGACGTCACATTTCCCTCATGGTGCAACAAAGTGTGCGTTCATGCACATGACGACACTTCGTTGTTCCCTCAATTTTTATCTCTCTTTCTTTCAAATAAGCGGGCCACATGCACGAATTTTTTTAAATAAACACTGTTAGATGTGAGGCAGGGAAGTAACAAGTTGTTCGGACGTGCTTAAATTAAAGTTTCTGTCTGCCAACAATGAAAAAGTTTTGAAAGTGATATTGTTCTTGTTTTTTTTTTTTTTTTTTCCTTTCTCACCAAATAACCCGTGGTAAAGACACAAAGTTGGCGAATGTGTCACGTATATTATGTCTCTAATATGAGATTTTTAGAGAAGACTGTGTTCCAGCGAGAATAAAGTTCGAGACAGAAGTAGTCGTGATACTGCACGTTCATCCGGGCATGAAGAGATAACCTAAGTGCGTGGTAGGTGGTCAGAACGTGGCGGATACTTGTTTTGTTGCGCACATGTAAATGAGTGACGCCAAACAGGGAACGATTGTGAAGCGCTTTTCCCTCTTTCCTTCTGTCGATATAAGATAGAAATCAAATCATGCCCATGAATCGATTTGTATCGTTAGAAACGATCGGTTATATCTGCAGCTATCTAGAACGACTATGGCAAAAATGCTGGATTTGAGTGTGAAGGATTGGGAAGGAACAGAATAGATCGTTTAAAAACCGCAGTGCACCTTCAGGATTTTCATATATTCTAAGTCATTTATTCATCCCTTCACGGGTTTAATACAAGTCAACATAATGCCCAGCTCCCAGTTGGCTTGTTAGCTCAGTTGGTAGACCACTGCACTGGTATCGCAGATGTCATGGGTTCAAATCCGGTACAGGCCTGAATTTTTTCAGGCCTTAATTTCACTACTTCTTAAGTAGTGTTCATTACGGCGAGGATCTTTTTCATATGCAGATCGTTTCAAAATTTAGCATAGAACAACCCTTGATCTTGTATCGACCATAGACAATTAGTTAGCAAGTTTATGCCTTACGCAATTAATTGCCTGTTTTTCTTGTGGTTGTGAAAGCGAGGCAAATAGATCTTTTGAAAGACGAATAACAGGTTATGACAGGTTCCAAAATCGCAAAATCATGCAGAGTCACCATACCATACCACTAAACTTTAAGATTTCGCAAGGCAGAAGGCGTCGGAATCTTGATACAAAAATTCAGGTACTAAGCAATTCTTGCCCACTTGCTGGTATAACTAACAGTCTTTAAGCGTTCAGCTTTACATCAAGTTCTATTCCTTCATAATGTTTCACGTCTATGGCTGAAATTCTATCGTCATTCCATTTTTTCTGTCATACGGTTGTGAGTCTAACGCTCGAAAACTCAGTGTATTGAGCTTTAATATTTATACTGCTAGACAAGGCGTTTTTTAAGAGTTTTTTTTCTAAACTAAGGTTATAAAATTTCTTCTGCGGTAGACTCCATTCATTTAAAGGTATGCTCGATGATTACTACTAATGTTCATTATCATGCATGACTCTCAAAAATTTAACAGCTTTTCCAATTAATAAATAAGCAGAAGTGGTTTTAGTCAGAGTACCACCCTACATTGTCCCCCAGTGAAAAGCAAAAAGAATTTAAAATGAATTCTACACAATGAAAACAATTATATATATATTTTTTTTGCGTAGCTCATATAGAAATAGAAAACCCATGCACTATTTTACTGAGCTGGTTCCCTTTCATTCAAGATGTCTGATGCATCTGGTTTGAACACGACGCTTCAATCAATTGATAGTGTTTTGAATGTCACCCCAAGTTTATTTGAAAGACAAATTGCACTACCGAGATTAAATCTCATCATAACTCCATGTTAATCGCTTACACATAGGTTATGTAAATTGTCTATCATTACTTTTTTTGATTTTCTTATTTTAGTACATCATTCAGGGGAAATTATGGAGATTTGGTCCAGGAGGGAGGTTCAACAATTGTATGAGGAGACCCCGATACACTGGCTCAGCGGGGAACACAGCCTCCATCGTAACAAGAAAGTTTTAATGTAACTTGTAAACTCAGAAAACTTTCAAACAGTTGTTGTTCTTACATTACGAAAGTACTGAGAAAGTGGACAACTTGCTACGTTTCGCTTATCTATCTTAACATTCGTGATAAAAATGATGTCCTGAGTGATGCTTGTTTTTTTCATAGTAAAAATAAGTACTTCCTTGAATTTCTAGAATAAACACTTGAACATTGCTAACCGTGTGTTATGTGAGACCCTCAATTCCGGAAACTATCTGAATTGATTTTTGATAACATTACTGAGGACTGATCGAGGAAACACATTACTCAGTTTCAACACTGGGGTAGTTCATCTGAAGCCTCCCCGCAGTGCTCACTTGTGGATTAAATTCTACAAAATTTATATTCCGAAAACCCGTGTTTCTGCTCAGGCCAGTTATTCTACTGGTCATATGCAAATGTCGACGCTTTTTGGCGTTCATATCATACTGTCAGTGATGGAATGCCTCTACAGGTGTTTCTAAAGCTACACTGATCTTGCATGAGATTATCAGGCTATGCACGTAAGATGTGCAAAGGTGTGTAAGCCTATTTTGTAAATGCTGGGCAACCTGGCCTGATCGTGTGTCTTAAATGATAATCAGAAAAACCGGAAGTAAATCATAATCAGAAAACAGGAGTAATATACTGAACTGCTAAGATCTTGCCTCCTCAGGTGCCAAAGACATTCCACCGCTGGCTTATGCCCATTAAGCTCCTATTTTTTTTCTCTGTTATCTTGAAGGTTAAAGGGTGTCAATGTGTAAAAAATTTAACCGTGATATTTTGCAAAAAAGGTACGGTCTTTATCAGTTAATCCGAAACAGTTGTAATATCAAGAACCTAAAAAAGCATTTGGTATACAATAAGATATACGTCAGGGTTTTGGCCGGGTGTGATCAACGTATTCTGGTTGAGTTACTCTAGCTGACTTTGTATCATACACTTTGCTGCACTTTCTTCGGGCAAACAAGATTTTTCCTAAGAAAACAACGGATCAAGAAGAGAAATTCCCAGAAAATTAAAGAAGAACAGTAACTCATTTTCCCCAGACCATGGTTAGTAGAGGGGACTGGTATAGTCCCCTCTACTAACCATGCCCCGATTGAGTCAAGTAAACTGGCGAAACTAACTTCCCACGTTGAAATTTTTTGGTCTTTCACATGTCCTTCCTTGCCTCTACGATTAAAAGGATGTATCCCCCTTGATCTCTTTATGGTCCGGCACTTAGCATATGTACGGTTACTCCCCTACACAACCTTTCCTCTGCGAAAAAGTAAAGTACAAATATCGATGTTATCGGTATTGAAAGGTACTAGAAGTTAGAGTGAAGACTTCAGACAACATATATCAACGCGCTGACGTTTCAAATTTAATAGATCTTCCAAACTGACAGTTCGATCCTCTCCACTTCTGGCGGGGTACGCAGCGCCAGCGAGGAGATTAATGACTAAAACCCCCGCCACGGAGAGAAATAACGTTACACATTACACTAAGGCACTCCAACAGGGATAAAGTCTTACCTGCAATAAGTTATCATTAACGTTACACATTACACTAAGGCACTCCAACAGAGATAAGGTCTTACCTGCAATAAGTTATCATTGACGTTACACATTACACTAAGGCACTCCAACAGAGATAAGGTCTTACCTGCAATAAGTTATCATTGACGTTACACATTACACTAAGGCACTCCAACAGAGATAAGGTCTTACCTGCAATAAGTTATCATTGACGTTACACATTACACTAAGGCACTCCAACAGAGATAAGGTCTTACCTGCAATAAGTTATCATTAACGTTACACATTACACTAAGGCACTCCAACAGGGATAAGGTTTTACCTGCAATAAGTTATGTCGGTAAGGTACAACCACTAGCAAAAGAAGTGGCCTCCTAATTTTTTTCATCATTGTTATTCTATTTTTGGTTTTTCTGTTTTTCTTTTTTTATTAGGTATGACGAGCAAAAAAATTCTAAGTCAGATCAAGCAAAGGCGAGAAAGTTGGTGACTTTCTATTCATATTTAAAATTGGGGGGATAAGTTTAGGACTGTTTCACTTCTACGAACGTTGACGGTTTATCCCTTGGCAAAAGTGCCATGCATCAAGCTGTCCGGATTTACTTTCATACTTCGAGCCTGTTCATTGTCCAATATTATTTGACACGGGGAAAAAATTGGAGTAAATGCGATTCTAGGAATTAAGCCATCAAATGAAACTTACTGCAAGATCGGAGCATATGATATCAAACGAACTGTTTGTGAATTTTTTCTTTCAAAATCCGGATTAAGACCAGCTTAAAAGAACTTTTAATGAAATTCTTTTAATAAATCGATTTTAGTCAGATTTTCTTTGTCTCCTGTGAAGTTTAATGACTAGAATAAACATGGGCAGTTGACTGTTTTTCAAAGACCATCGAATCACAACGCTGGCGTTTCGAAGTACGTGTCAAAAAACCTCTTTAACTGTTTGGGGCTTTTAAATCTTTTTTAAATACTTCTTTAAGCACAAATGGAGTTAATTAGCACCTCTTTGACTTCGTTCTTCTTGCTTTTAAATACAAATCTTTTATTGTACTTCAACGGTTATCTGTTCACATCTGACGCTATAGCAGATGCACTTCTCAAAAGTATTAGTTTCAACAAATGTTCAGGTAACCTTGAAACAGTCTAAAACGGGTTAACGTGTTCTCTTGTTGAGTTGAGAGACAAAGGTGAGGAGATTAGGGAAAGAACAACTTTTTGTCACCATTTCAGGTTCAAACTGTTCACAGCAGACTCTTCATAAAGCAGACTTTTCGCCGTCAGATTGTTTTTATCACGGGGGCAATGCATACAAAAAACCATCTGAACATGGACATAAAAATCGCACACTATATTATTTTTGTCTGAAAAAACAGATTGAGGGAG